TCACAAAAGCCTCCACACCAGCTTGGTGTAGTGGTTAAGTGCGCGGACTCTAATCTGGGAGAGCCGGGTTTGATTCCCCACTCCTCCACTTGCACCTGGCTGGGTGACCTTGGGCAAGCCGTAGTTCTGATAAGAGCTGTTCTTGAAAAAGAGCAGTTTCTTTCAAGAGCTCTCTCAGCCCCACCTACATCAGTCACAGGGTGTCTGTTGTGGGGAGGGGAAGGGAAAGGAGTTTGTAAGCCTCTCTGAGACTCCTTTGGGTAGTGAAGGGCGGGGTATAAATCCAATCTCTTCTCTTCTTTTTCTTCTCACACCAATTTTCAAAAGGCAAAATGCTCAAGAGTGGCTAGTAGCAGCCTAATTCTGGAACATTTGGCTTATAAGACCAAAATAGTGTTCACCTGGCAGGTCCCTTAAAAGGCTACCACACAATCTATGTAACACATTATTTCTGAAATAGACATACACAAGATGTCTTAATATGACCAATACTTCTGGTATAGACATACATCGGATATGCTTCAATGAAAAAAAAACATGTTATCAAACATGCCTTCAGAATATACATGAAAGAATTTGCCATAGAAAAACAGCCCCTTAAAGGGGTACTGACAACATATCAATAGACATATATATTAAATCCTTATCTAAACAAGATTGCTGATATAAGCATACACAAATGCTATACAGAATAACAAAATTACAAAATTGCCTAGATGAAACAAGATAGGTCAAGGGACGTATTTGGACCATAGGGAACCACACAGTTAAACAGGTGTATCCAGTAGCACTCGTCTTTTAATAAAACTTTGTGAACATCTTGCATCTGCCACTAGGTTTGTACTTGTAAACTACAAAGAATTTAAAACTATCAAAACTATGGCTGGTTTCGCACTAGAGCTGATTCGCTGTTGCGCCGCCGTTTGCCCCGGTTCTATTGGTCAATTTTACACCTGAATCTGTGGGGCTAATTTTGACCCGCGGCTTTGCCTGATTTCCCCCGCAGTTTTGTGATCCTGTTTTTTGAGGATCAACGAAACTGCGGAGGAAATCGGGCGAAGCCACGGGTCAAAATCAGCCCCGCGGCTTCAGGTGTGAAATTGACCAATAGAACTGGTGCAAATGGCAGCGCAACAGTGAGGCAACTCTAGTGCAAAATCAGTCACAGTCCTTTCTCCCCAAAGTGAACCACTGTTGGTGCTCCCCATATTTCATTTTTAATTCAACTACACTGTTCCAAAATATGGACCCGTATGTTGAGAAAGAGACTGATATTTGCTGTTTATGGATTTATATCTGCTGACACACACACACACTTCACATGCACTGTGCATACATATATACCCAAAGGCTTAAGGGAAAGCTGCTTGAATCACCTGTTGTGAGAGGTTTCACATAGAAGATACTTGACTGCATTTCATGCTAATGAAGCTTGCAAACACATACAGCTCCTTGCCTTAGGGGAAGTGAAGCACATTTCGCCATTGTTAGCAGAAACAACAGCTAAGGAGAGAAAATCCCCCATTGCTGAAGGACTTGATGTCACGCAATACACACCTTCATTCTACATCTGAATGGCCATTTCCTGCCAGATGTCACTTTGATTACCTGGGAAAGCCGAGATCTATCTACACATCAAGGAAGATCCTGATGCCCATCTTTCACACCTCACCAGATGGCTTGTCCATAAGTTAGAGTTTAGAATTTCAAATATTGGCCAAACCCTAAGTATCTGCCAATCTGTACACGCATCCAATAGCTGTAGTTATGGGACGGACTTACAGGTAGGTGGGTTTACAGCTTGGCAAGGTTGCCACCCACCCAAAGATTCACCTATAAAATGCAGGGACCATGTGATGGGCTTTGCTAGCCGCAAACCCTCCATCATCCCCTGTCTACATTTACCCCCTAATGTCCAGCTTGCTATCCCACAACCCTTCTGGTCTATTCTTGATCTCTTGGTGTGCGCAGCCAAAGAGGTCTACACTTTGCTGCTGGTTCTGGCAGTGTGAGTTAGAAATACCCCTAGGTTCTATTTCCTTACTGTCTATTCTTTATTGCAACAGACAAGGCTTCAGGAAAGATAAGTATGAACGATACCTACCTACCTCCTAAGTAAAAAGAACTATTTTTCTATTCCTGTATTCCAATGGAACTTGATTGACTGTGTCTGTGAATCTGTATTGTTTGAATGTGATTTTGATATTCCTCAGTAAAAGACAGATTGTTTTAAATTCATCAGTCTTGACTCTCTCACTGGGACATCCTCGGGGTGGATCGGACCTCCGTAAACTTTGGCAGGAACCCATATAAATTTAGTTTGCCATCTGTTGTAGATAAAGCAGTTTGGCTACCTGTCTAGTTGTTCAGGTATCTGCATGCCCTCTACAAGGGTTATAAAGTGTTTTGTGTCCTTGATGTATGATGGAATGGTCAATACAAAAGGTTTTAAATGAAAACCAACAAACGTAGACAAAGGTTCTAATACAAAGTTTGAACCCGATATAATAGGGCATCCAGGAGGATTAATCATGGACTTACATATTTTCGGAAGAGTATAAATGACAGGTATCCTAGGATATTCATTGTAAAGGTACCTGTACATGTCATGGTTGATGATTCCCATGATTTCGGCTTCATCTAAAACTATTTTAATGATACGGGCAATATGCTGAGTAGGGTCATGATTTATGGCAGAATAATTTACAGTGTCTGATAATTGACATTCAAACATCTCAAAACAACATTGTAGTTTGTCTAAAACTACAAACTACTATTGTAGTTTGTCTAAAACTACAATAGCCCCGCCTTTGTCAGCAGGTTTTATTATGATGGAATCATCCATTGATAAAGACTTCAAAGCATCAGATTCCTGCCTGGTCAAGTTATGCCATGGGTGGCAATTATTGCTCTCTAATCTTCTGATATCCCTCATAACCATTTTCTCAAATGTGGCTATGTGGGGATCATACTTAGTTGGATTTAAAAAGGATGTAGGTCGGAAGGGTTGTTTCAAATCAACATTAGTCTCATTACCAAACATTTTACACAGTTTTATTTGTTGGATTAATTTAAATGTATCAATTTTAGTTCTGAAAGAATCATACTTCGGTGTTGGGACAAAGCCCAAATCCAAATTAAGTACTCTGCATTCCACATCTGTGAGTATGCGACTAGACAAATTGACTACAAGGTTTTCTTTTTCCCTTTCTTCTGACCTCCCTGGTGAATTAAAACCCTATTATTGAGCAACATGAAATGGAAGATCTCTAGGTACTACTTCATGATAACTGAAGCACCATTTGGATTTTGACGTGTTTCCATTTTAAAAAATCAGTAGGCTTCTCTTTTGCCCACTTAAGGTGGGACAACGCCCACCAATCTTAGCCATTGCCCAATGATGCTCAGCTGAGTGGTGGATGGAAACTTAGGCCAAAGGGGGAAATCATTCTGAGATTTTCTGGTTATTACAAGAGCTACCCTTGTCATTCTAGGGCTGCGGTCACACGTAACAGAAGCCACACAAGTGAGACAGAAAGCAGCCGGAGTTTCCGGGCGTGATCTCACCAGCACATCTGGGAAACGTAGCACTCCCGTGGCTCAACCGAGGCTTCCAGCCGAAACTGCGTGGCAAAAAACTAGTACCTTGGAGGTACTAGTTTCCGGAAACTGCGGGGCAAGGGCGGGCATCTGATCGCGTTTCCGGTGGCATCCGGCGCCCGCCCATGTCCCCTTGCAAATAAGGTGTGTTTTTTTTGTCCGAGTCTCTGTGGATGCGCATGCGCACCCAACGGAGCATGCGCATTTGTCATGTACACAAAAATAAAAACCAGTTTGCCGCGGCGCACGCTTCTTCGTTGTGCGCCAGCTTGTCCTGTGATTGGCACCTCTCCCTTGCCATGGAACCTCCACGGTACCTCCACAGGACCTCCACAGGAGATCTGAACACGTAACTGCGCAGTAGTTTGCCCCAGGGCAAACAGCCACGCTTCTCCTCTGCAGTTTCCTGCCCGTGTGACCGGGGCCTAGGTAGTTCTAGTAACCACTGGGAACTCTGCGGTCAGAATTTACAGTAAGTAGCCAAGGCCTTGTTTTTCGTTTTCTTCCTCCAGGAACTTTGCCTTCCCCAGCACCCCTGCCAGTTGTCTTGCACTGCCTGGCAGCCCTAGAAACAAACCTAATGTGTACTATAGAAGGTTTTATGCCATGTCTACATTCACTTCTTAAGGTCTAGTTTTCCTGGGCCCCGGTCACACGAGCAGGAAACCGCAGGGGGGAAGCGTGGCAGTGTGCCCCGGGGCAAACTAAGGCGCCGTTACCTGACCAGACCTCCCGTGGAGGTACCGTGGAGGGACCGTGGAGACGCCTGCCCTTGCCCCGCGGCTTCCGGATACTAGTACCTCCGAGGTACTAGTATTTTGCTGCGCGGTTTCAGCGGGAAGCCTCGTTTGAGCCCCGGGTGTGCTACGCTTCCCAGATGTGCTGGTGGGATCGCGTCCGGAAACTCCACATGTCTTCCGTCTGACTAGGGTGGCTAATGTTCCGTGTGACCGCAGCCCTGGTTGCTTTTCTCATTGTTTACTACAGGTCTGAGTACCACTGAGGAAGCCCAGAACACATGCCGGTGAAGATGTAGTCAACATTCTGTCTTTGGCAAAGTTGCAGAAAATTTATTCATCTGAGTAGGTAAATTACCTTCCCTGTAATCAGCAAATTCATCATCATTACTTCCCTTTTCACTCTCCATCCCTTGAGATTTCCAGTGATCGCAAGGAAAAGAAAAAAGCACTCAAAAATGGTACTGCTGTTCCCTCTGCCATCCACAGCTGGAAGGAGAGACAGATCAGGGTTGTCTGTTCACTGATATTTTACACTGTACCATCCTGGCTTTGAATCATGCTAGTGAGTGACACTTCCATCTAAGATGTGCTACTAAGGAATGCTTGAATGATAATATGAGAACAGTTGAATTGGTGTCATGAGAAAGATTGTCACGGAAGATGGTGCTATTTGTTGCTTTTGTGTTAGTGTTGCTGGTGCAGGTGGTGTGCAAATCTCCGTCTGTTCAGTGCCCCACCAGTCACCCACTTCCTATTGTTCACAAGTATTATCAGTCAGGAGACCTTCTCATTGCTGGCATTGTTTCTCATGTGTTTAAGTTTTTCGATACTGTCAACTTTGAAACGCGTCCCTCTCCCAGTTCCTCTGATCCACTCATGTAAGATGGATTTTTTTTCATAGTATTCTTACGTGTACTGTAATGAAAGGCTTAATGTGTACTATGATATTCGTGGTCTCCCTCCCAATGAATCTTCATCTTAAACTGCATGGGTTCTATTGAAAAACAAATGGTATCTCCTGCGTTTTGATGCTCACATGAAAAAGAACAACAGCAAACTTTTGTAAATTTGGGGGTTGAATAGTAAATTTTGCTGTGCCATTACTAATGGAACCTTCTCCATAAATCAAGGATATGCCCATCTTTAGAATACACTATCATTGGACGAGGCTGCATTGTTAGTTTGACAGAATCAGAGCTTGGGTAGGGCCATGGCTCAGTGGTAGAGCATTTGCTTGGCAGGAAGAATGTCCGAGGTTCAATCCCTGGCATCACCAATGGAAGAATCTGGCAGCAGGAGATGTGAAAGTTCTCTGCCACAGACCCTGAAGAGCTACTGCCAATATGAGTATAAAATACAAGTTTTGATGGACCAACGGTCTGATTCCATAGAACACACTTCAGGTGTCCCTGTTTCTTGAATATAAGCTTCCTAAATTGTATAGAAACAGCCTCTCAATGTTGACACCCCTGGTGAATATTTCTGCAGCATATTGACCACAAGAGAGATTACACCCCATCAGAATGAGACTGCAATAAACATTTGGAAAAAACCTCTTATTGCCAATGAGTATGTGTGCTAACAAATAGGTTTCCAAACCATTCCACTGTTGAACTAATATTCTGAGAAGTCAGAAGTCAGCTGTGGGATCCCGAAATATTACTGTTAGGGCTTATAATGGAGGAAGTAAATGTAATTTACGATGTCTCAGGTTTATATAATTTGTTTTGCTTCAGTTTATATTCATTCAGGTTTCCTTCCGTTTACTTCCACCAGAAATGCATTAAATGTAATTTTCTTACATGAACTTGCTGTGATGCAGCTTATCACTCTCATTGCAGCGTATTGACTCAGCTTTACCAGAACCTCCTGGCTTTGGTGTTTGCTGTCAAGGAGATCAATGAAAATCCTCAACTCTTACCCAATGTCACTCTGGGTATCCACACCTATAATAACTATTTTAGCCCAGGCTACACCTATCATGCTGCAATGGAACTTCTCTCTACTAAGGGGAGGTTTATTCCTAACTACAAGTGTGACAACCAGAACAACTTGGTAGCAGTATTGGGGGGACCAAAGTCTAATTTCTGCCTCTACATGGCTGACATTCTGTCCATTTTCAAGATTCCACAGGTAAAATGGTCTTGTGGGTCATGGCACATTAACAACTAATTCACAGTTCCTTTGCTTTCAGGAGTGGTTTGACATTAAAGTGTTTTCAAATCTGGATTAACTCATTGAAGGTTTTGTGCTGTATTAATTATTGTTAGACCTTCAAAACTGAATCCTTTAAAGGCAGATAGAGTTGCTAGTTAATGGAAATCGTTTAGTGCTTCTAGCCCTGACCTGGATAACCTAGGCTAGTCAGATCTTGGAAGCTAAGTAGGTCTGGCCCTGGTTTGTACTTGGATGGGAGACCCCCAAGGAAATCCAGGCTCACTACATAGAGGAAAGCAGTGGCAAACCATTTCTGTTTCTTTCTTGCCCTGAAAACCCCATGGGGTCAACACGAGTTGGCTACAACTTGATGGCACTTTTCCTTCATCACCATGAGCCCTTCCAGGTTTCCCCCCCTTATTTTACATTTGTTCATATGCATATCTGTGAGAAACTTAATTTTTCAGTTCTCATGTTTGCCTTTATTTTATCTGAAAAAAGGTTTTGGGTGGGAGGGGATACAAGATTGAAAGTTCCAGAGACACAAGCGAATCATGCAAGAAACAAGCTGTTTTGAACTGAACAATGTTTCCAAGGATCTGTGTGGGTTTGTGTCCACTCTTCAGAGTACGAGAACCCAGATTCAAGTAGACTTGAAAGAATCACAAGCTTTCAATTAAGAGTGTTTCTAAACATTCGTTGCTTGAGAACTGAGACCATAGGGCTTTCCTTGTTCCATGTTTTGGGCCAGACACAAAATGTTCTACTGAGAATTATGCTAACTAGATCTCAGTTCTTCCTGTTTCCATGAGAAACTAGTTGAGCTCAGTCCAGATAAAATTATGATCAGATTATCAAGATGTGTTCTAATTCAGAGTTTTGGTGACTTGCTGGGCAGGTACGCTCCATCACGCTCCGATGAGAGCAGCCTGTAACCATGGTGGGTGGAAGGGGTCCCAGAAGTTTCCGGGGAGGGCAGAGTCCTCGGAGGGGGCTCGTGGCCTGGAGCACAAGGGGTGCCTCTTCCTAGGCAACGGCCTAGGAATCGAGGCTCCTCTTTGCCCCGATAGGTCCCACCACCACAAGACCAGTATGGAGGCAGAGGTGCATGCCGGATCAAGCGAGCAAGTGATCAGTGCTCAGAGGTCTTCCATTCCTTTTGGAGAAACACATGGAATGAAGTGTGAGTGTGCATCTTTTTAAAACTAGCCAAGCGGACAACCACCCCAAAGCCCCAAGTCGACGTGGAGGAGGGGAAAGTTAATCCCACCCTGAAAAAGTTACTGTGAGAGCGAATATGAGGAGCAGTTTGACGGTTTTGATTGAAAAGCACTAAAAGCCAAGTATTGTGTGGAATAGTAGAAAGTGCATAGACTTAACAGAATTTCAGTGACTTAAACGAACTTTTTTCTATGTAAACAACGTCGCAACAGGCTGATAAAATGACAGTTAGGAGGAAACCTTCTCCAGGAACTGCTGGATCAGCAGTGTCGGCTCTCAGACTGGAAGTAACCACTGAGTTTCCTAACATGCTGGCTACAGCATTGTGCCCTCTGCTGGACCAGATGACTAATCACAACAATAATTTTGATGCTGTCCAAAAACAACTGACAGAAACTAATACAAGAACAGAGGAAACAGTCAAAGCACTGAAAAAAAGTTGATGCTAAGACAAATTTGATAAATCAGAGACTAGAGGCCATGGAAAAAGAGTGGACCTCTGATAAAGAAAAGCTGTTACAGCTACAAATGGAAAAGTCATCATATCTCCTGAGGTTTCAGGCTATCCCAGAACACAAAAGGGGAGAACTTGAAAGAGATCTTAAGCAAAGCTTTGGTTCCAGTGGCAGATCTTAAAGCGGAAATGGATATGGTTTATTGAACATATCCAGACTTCATTAAGAAAAATAAACTCCCTGCTGAAGTATTTGTTAAGTTCTCCAAGAGATCAACAAGAGATACAATCTTGAAAGCGACTAATGGGATAACCCTGAAAATCAAAGGTGAAGAAACGAGAGTTTTAAAATACATTCCATTTGAGATAAGAAAAAGGAGGAAACAGTACAAAAACCTAACATATTTTTATAGAAAAACTCCACTCCCTTCAGATGGATAATTCCAGAAGGACTTATCTTCAACTACAAAGAGAAAAAAGAGAAGATTGACTCTGTTTCAAAAGCAAAGGCATTTTTAGAACAGCATCAAACAGTGAAAGAAAAAGGGAAAGCAGAGGAAAACAACACAACAGAAGAAAACAGTGAACATAGATCAGGAAGCAGTGAAAGCACCTTGGGCAGTCCCTCAGAAGATTCTGAATCTGATAAAGGAAAAGCGGCTCCTATGCTTCTCAAAGTTAGACTGACTTATGATAAAAATAAGCACAGAAAAAAATGAATAGCTTAACACTGAAAGCCTGTTTTTTTTACTTACATATAAAGAACTAGGATGCACTTACTCTGACTAACCATGTTTGTACTAGTTTGATCTTGAACTAATAATTACTAACTTTCATTCCTTAAATTCTTAAATGTAGGGAATACATCAGGATGTGGGTACAATTTATGTACAATCAATATAATATGATCCTTGCCTTGCTTTGTATTTTAGGCTAGTTCTCCCCCTTTCCCCCTACCCTTTGTAGTTTGTAGAGTGAAAACCAAAAATGTTACCAAAAAAAAGATGTGTTCTAATTCCTTAGGCAAGCCATTTTTTCCCTTGACTTCCCAACTGTAAATTGGAGATATGGATCTCCTTACATTACCATTGTAAGGATTACTTTTATAGGTGAAAGAGGTCTGAATCCTTATAAGATTATGTACATGCTATCGAAGTTCCATTAAGTCACAACCAATTTATGGTAACCCCAGCAAAGGGTTTTCAAGGCTTGTGGGAAGCAGAGATAGTTTGCCAGTGCTTTCATCTGCAGAGTCATCCTTGGTGGTCTGTCATTCAAATATGGACCCTGCTTAACTTCTGAGGCCTGATGAGATTGTGCTATACCATGCCACCTTCCATCCTTATTTACATGCTGAGGATTATTAATAAAATACTAAAGTGTGAAGGCAAATGGTACATTCTGCATATTGGTAACAAGTGTTAAAATCTGTCACCTATATCATACATCCTTGACATGATCATAAACCCAAAAGATTATTTTATTTTTAATTTTCAAGTTTCATTAATATGTTGAACAACAGATATATATATATAAATAGTACAATTAATGGAATGAAATAAATAAAAAGAGATCAGAAAAACCTGGAAAATCACAAATCATGAACTTCTAGTGCCAACAATCATTTATTTCTCAACAAAAGCCATTCTTTCATCCACACTGAGCCACAAGCAGCAAAATATAGTTTCAAGACAGGTAGACTCAGTCCTCTTTCTTTTGCTTCCTGCAATACTTTATATTTAATAAGTCGTGTTTCCCCCCCTTTCCATACACATTTAGAAATTTCTTTTTTGCCATTGTTTGAATGGTATATCAATTGTCAAAACTGGTATTGTCTGAAAGAGAAATAACTTCCTGGGTAAAACACTAGTCTAAATTATCTCTATTCTTTCCGTCAGTGACATTTGCAATTTTCCCCATCTTAACAGGTCTTTCTTAATGTCTTTCCATGATTTGACATAGTTGCTCTGAAGCAACATAAAATTCATATTTGTAAAGGTAATACATAAATATGTAACCTTCTTCTCCACCTTGGGACCAGTTTTATTCATCAATTCCACTTGTCCTTGTTAATTCATATTTTTGTTAACATCTTTGGGCTTTTTGGGTTATTAATCTTAAAACCTGCTAGTGCACCAATTTCATTCAATTTAGTCATCAGATAGTCAAGTCCCTTTAAGGGATCTTCTAAAACAAACACCTAATCATCTGAAAATGCCCTTAATTTATAAATCTCTTTTTTGAAATTTTTACTGCCTCAATCTTCTCCTCCTATCTTATATATCTCTATTCAGTATTTCAAGAACCAAAATAAGCAGTAGTGGGGACAGTGGACTGCCTTGTTCCTTTATAAATGGCACATGGTTTAGTTAGATCTCCATTAAAATTATTTTTCAAAACTGTGACATATAGATCGATTTCACCCATTTTATGAAATTATCTCCAAAATTCATATCTTCTAAAACCCAAAACAAAAAAGTCCAATTCAAGTGGTCAAATGCTTTCTCTGTGTCCAAAAAGATCAGTGTGGCTTGTTTTTCATTGTGTTTTAACAGATACTCCAAAATGTCTAGTATAGTTCTAGTATAGTCCTTCATCTGCCTCTTAGGCAAACACCACATTGGTCTTCATGAATGAATCCTTGTAGAATTATTTTCAGCCTTTCCACTAAAGTTGTAGTAAAAACTTATAATCATTATTTAATAGTGAAATTGGTTTATAATTTCTTCTCAAAATAAAATCCTGTCCGTCTTTAGATATGGGTGCTATAGTAGCCTCTTTCCAGCATGCTTCCCCCCTGTAAAACAGTACTTTGTAAAGGTTGTAAAATTTCATCCTCAAAACATTTATAATGTAGACCTGTTAGACCATCTGATCCTGGACCTTTTTCTTGTTTAAGCTTTTTAATAGCTTCCACTAACTCTCTTATTGTTATGGGTCCATTCATAATTTGTCTTTGTTCTTCGGAATCTTTTTACATTTTGTTTACTGAGATGTTCACTTATTTTTGTTAATGAAATATTCTGAGATTTATACAAATTAGAATAATACTTATAAAATGTACTTTGAATATCCACATTGTCCGTTAATACAATATCTCCTTCCTGTAATTTAAAATCCTCCCCCTTTCTCAGTTCATAGGCCCACCATCTTCCTGATTTGTTTGTAAACTCAAAATTCCTTTGTTTAGCATAATTAAGTTTCATTTCCATTTCCCGTATTGTTAATGTCAATACCTGCTGTTGTAGGATTCTTATTTTAGGGTAATATTTTTATTTCCTGGCAATTTTTAAAACTCATCATTTTCTTTTTAATCTCTTCCAGACCTTTTGTGTTTTCTCTTGCCTTTTCTTCTTCATCTGAGAATTATGTGGCATTAATTACCCTCTAATGAAACCTTTACTTGCATCTCATACCATTCTTATCACAGTTCCTTTGTTTACATTAAGTTGAAAAAAATATTTTAACGTTTTTCGTACAGTCCTCTACAATTGGCTCATTTTGTAACATTGCTTCATTTAATCTCCATCTAAATGTACCAGATTTTCTTTTACAAATAAGACTGACAGGATTATGATCTGACAAACTCTTTGGTAAAATCTCTACTTTGCAAACCTTGGTAACCAATCCCCCCCCCCCAACCTATCCTTGAAAATGATCTATGTCTCTTGGAGAAATAAGTATATTCTTTAGAGTTACCATTTTTTGTCTCCAAATGTCCACTAAACCCATATTGCTCATCAAGTCAAAAAAAGTCTTTGGCAGTTTGCATTGTGTATTTTCATAGTTTTTCTGAAAGCCTACCCATCTGTGGCAAGATCAATCCATTCCAATCTCCCATAAAACAACAACTCACAGGCCTGTAGCTAGTCAGGGGCATGGGGGCCACACTCCCACAGATGTGCCCCCCATGAGGATGCCAGACTTCTGGTGCGGGCAGGGTGCCCTTGGTTTCACTGTAGCTGAGCAGTTTGAAGCTGCAGCTGAGCAGGAGGGGAGAGAGGGGCAGCCTTGCTGGTTCCTCCTTCTCCCACAGCCAACTTCTCAAAGCCCTGATCCGTCCCCTCCTGCTCAACTGCAGTTGGAAGCAGGAAGGCTCAAATGGGGGGAGAGAGG